ACGTGGGACTCGATCCCGGGACTCCAGGATCATGACCTGAGCTGAAGGCAGTCGCTTAACCAACTGAGCCACCCAGGCACCCTTGACTTAAAATTCTTAATTCTAAAGAAGGTGGTAAAAATATCTATCTGTAAAATTATAAGTTCTAACATTTATTTAGAGTATAATATTTAGGAAATATTTAGGTCAGAGTTCAAGAATTCAAAACAAATTTCTTCTGAAAACCAGGGAACTTAATAATTGTCCAATATCTACTCATATTTCACCCTTTTAAAAAATCTTGTGGACATCACTCACTTTTGTTTTTCCTTCCATCCTGTGTCTGTCAAGCTTCTCTGCCTTGCTCTAAGTCAGCAGTTTTCATGCAGCTGTTCCCTCATCAAGGTACTCTTTCCTTCCGTCATCTCTGCACGAAATGCCGCTTTACCCCACGCTCATCCCAGGCACATGGCATGAGACTTCATTCACTGATCCCTGTCAGCACAATTTGGCTTAGTACCTGAGGCACTTGTAAAACCACCGCTTTAAGGTCTGGAGCTCACTGGCCCTGTAGCGCCGTGCATTCTGGGTCCGTGAATGAGCTGCTTCCACTCCCCCGTGAACACTGAACATGCAGTCCCAGCCCCGGGCACACACAAGCCGGCGAACAGGAAACCCCAGAGAGAGTTAATAGAGAAAGCAGGATATGTGCTTTGAGGAAGAATTTTAGCTTAGGAAATACTTGTTTTCCCACAATATAAATCCAATCCCAGTATTTCCTTAGAAATTAAAGCTGGCTATGTACTCTATCACCTATGTTTAAAAAAAGGAATATGGTCTTTAGTTAGCTCTAAGGACTAAGAAGAAAAAAATGTGATACACTTCTATCTAATTTATAAAAGCTGCCTTGTCTTCTTTTACTCTTCTGTGACTATTATACAAAAAGATTAGACCAAATACAAAAAGAAGTATTGGCAACTGATGAAAGTACATTAAAAGTTTTGTTAATTCTTATAGCTACAGTTTTGTATATCTAGCTTAAAATACAAATATTTCTAAGCACATAATTAACATGTCTCCATGAAGGTATTTACTGTACCGTAAGAATAAGCTATAGTTACCTTTTCTTCTAAGATTTATTATATTTTGTGCTTGTTCACATTAGCTTAGGTACACATTCTAGTGTGAAATTCAAGTCCTGTGCATTTGTTCTAATACTCCTTTTAGTACGTCACTTGGTCTTTTTTATTTCAGGTATTAGGAGCATCTTGATTTGTGTAGTAATTATTTTACCTATGTGCAGAAGGTCTTCACATGGATTATCTTATCTGAATGCTCTAACAACCCTTTGAAATAGGCACATCTACTCTTATCCTTAATTGACAGATTAGGAACTAAAACCAAATTAGGGTCTGATCCCACTAAGACTCCAACCTGGGTCTTCTGACGCATTTGCATCATTGTATGTGACAAATGAGCGCTCTGGTTTCCCTTCTCATATATGTCCTAGGACTTTTCTGACAGGTTTGCCATAGTATAGTTGTAATCAACTAAGCAATGCAGAGTCAGGTAACCTACCAGCGCTCCCGTACAGGTGGTGTGAGATTTGAGTTATTCGTCTTTTATTTTTGTTGTGTGACTTCTCACAAGTCACCTAACCCATTTTTCTTCAGCTTCTGAAGAAGTGAAAGAGAATCCATCCTTTTATTATTTCATGAAAGTATTAGGTTCCAGTTTGGGAAAGGCATTTTGGTGCTTAAAAATTAGGTGAATTTTTAAAATGAAGTGGTTTATTATTCATCAGGCTGGATCTATCCCTAGTTGTCAAAATAAATAAACTTTGATACCTGCCTTCAAGGAACTCATGTTCGAGCAGAGGAGATAGACATACAACTTCAGTTAACTATCATGCACTCTAATCATTTTTCCCACTTGATTTACTAAATTCTGGCCAAGAACACCTTTTATTTAGGATTTCATCTTCTCAGGAACCACCACAGTTCATTGAAGCATAATGTTTATTAATGCACCACTGTAGAGAATTTCAGCTTCTTCTGTCCTGCATGTTTGTAACTGGCTGCACATTTGACCACAGCCTCTGTGGGAGAACTTAAACTAGGAAATCAGGACCACAGAAGTTTTTACCTTTGTTTCATTTAGGTGGTGGCTTCGGGGTTTACATCACCTCATGGGGTTTTTCTGCTTTTGTGCCTACTGAGGGTCAGAAGGGTGAGCCAGTACTTAGGGGCCTAAGAGAGACCAGAGTACAAAGCCTCAGAGAGGCAACACCAGGGTCTGCTCCCTAATTTAAATTATAGCCCCTACCAGTGCAGGGTGGATTCTGTCTGCCTTTGAGCAGTCTGGCTGACCATCTGAGAGTTCTTCCTATGGAATGCTAAGACCAGATCCTTCACTAGTGTGTTAGAGAGGTTTCTAGATTTCACCGAAGAGGGCAAAAAGGACTGCTGCCAAAATTCTCAAACGTGCTAATTATGCTTGGAAACAGAAGTGGCAGAACTGGACACTATGATTGCTGCTTCTTACCAACTTGGCTTCTCCAAGATGCTGTACCTTGGTATAAATATAATGCATCTTTAATGGATTTTTTTCCTTAAAAATGACCCTCCACGATGTTTATGTCAGCTTCTCCTTTGATCTTTAAAGTAAAACAGCTTTGCTGTGATGTTGGGAATCAGTTATGCCACATTTACCTGTGTGTGGTTTACAGAGTTGGGTCACTGCATAGGAAGAAAACACACATACAAAAACAAGAATTGAGATGAAAATTAATTTGAGCGTGGAAGTAGGACATCAACCTCTCACATAGCATAGAAGCTTTTGGCTATAAGCGATGGGCCTAAGTCAGTGATACTCTAACATTTTTTACCAAAAGAAACACGTGTTCATTAGGAAAACAATTAGAAAATTCAGAAGAATAGAAGAAAAAAATCACCCATGATCCCACTGCTCTAAGATAATCACTGTTTATTAACATTTTAGTACATCTTCTTCTGGTGTGTTTTCTTTACATAGTAGAGGTCCTCATATGTGTAAAACTTTATACCTTGCTTTCTATCCTTAACATTTAACAGGAAATAAATAAGGCTTTTAAAATTTTATTTAGAGGTCTGGAGGTTATTTGCTTAACAGAAAATAGAATATCCTTAGTATTTCTTTGAAGAAATCTTCACCATAGTGACTTAATCTATGTGACCCCAACTTCTGTAACTTTAATTCTTAAGAATATCAGTGGGCAACAGGCCCTTGTCCTGAAACGAAAGCATTGCCACCTTGCAGCGTAATGACTGCTTTCTCCCCCGAGGGAGTGGAGTCTCATGGTGGCAAGGCCGTGTCACAGGTGGGCACACAAGAACAAGCCCCAGGGTGGCAGATTGCTGGCAGAGAGCCACAGTCCCTCCTCGTGGTGGGCCACACTGGGCGCCTCCTGATGGCTGTCTTCTGGTTGTTTCAAACCCTTGTCTTTTTAGAGAACCCACATGTGGAACTGTGGACTTGAACTTGTAGGCCACATGCAGATTTAAGGAAATGGAAAGTCAGATGCACTAAGTTCATGATAATTTCAGATGGAGGAAGCTAAAAAAATTTTTTTTTTCTTTTCCACACCCTGGAGATCAGGGGTTGTTGCATGCTTTGAGGCTCTGAATTACAACAGTGATCACATTTAAAAATGGAAGCATTCAGTTCAACCAATATTTACTGAAAAAGATACCAACTAGATCCTACCAGAAAATAAAAATGAATAATAAATGATCTTTGCTTTTCTAGGTGCTTTTACTGTCATATAGGAAATAAGATGTATACACAAGTTGTAGTAGCAGAGGCAGAATGTAAGAAATATAAGTGCCACCTAGAAGCAGGGAGAGACAGGGGGAGACAGTAGCTCTGGCAGGACGCAGCAGAATGCATCGTGAAGGAAATGGAGATGAGGAAAAAATGGGTCGAATTTCTCTTGTGGAGACTCAGGCAAGGCAACGGAGAGAGCGTGCGCTACATGCACCACAGAGCTCGGCACGCTGGAGGTGATGAGCAGCCTCCTTTCAATTTTGTTATTTTTCTTAAAAAATCACTCTGGAGAAGATGCAAATAAATAGGCAGAAGAGAATAAAAATCATCCAGAGTTCTGTTAGCCAGAGAAAAGTTCTGTGACCATTAGTGGTATCCTTTCTTCCATTCATCTTTCCACACACATGATTGAAATAGAACAGATTTGAGATGCCGGTCCACTGTGCTTGGCTCCTCAAGAGGTGTGGTGGGTGTTGTTTAACTACATCCAGCCCCTAGCCCAGTGCACTTTTTCATAGAGAAGCACTAACAAATGCCCACTGTTCCTTTGATAAGTTCTAGACAGCAAATCTTTTTGAGCCTATGGAAATGTGGCCACGTGTCTCTAGATAGATGCCTTACACTCTGAATTGAATGCAAGGCTGAACCTAAATGATGTGTGGCTCCTAGAAGATCATCACAAATCCATTTCCTGCTCTTGAGCCAATAAGTAGATGTGTGGATCTGTGTCCATTTTCTATAATGTAAATACTTTTTGACTTAAAATGGTGCTTTGTCCCAAAATGAGTATTTTTCCTTTCTCAGACTTAATGTTTATTTTAAAATTCAAATGGTATGATAAGAGTAAGGTAAAAATTACCTGAATTAACACCATCCAGAAGTAACAAATTTGGCAGATGTTTTTCTGTATGTGAGATTTTTTTTTCCTTCAAAATTATGGTCATCTTTCTGTATCAGTAAATATCAAACAGTACTTGACGTTTTGATATAAATTGCTAAAGTGCTCTCCAGCTTTCTGCTCTCCCACCAAGTTATGCCACAGGTGGGTATAAGCACTAATTATTTTGGTAAATTTTATTGAAGTGTAACAGAAAAGTATACAGATCAAGTTTACAACCTAGTGAACTTTTAAGAAGTAAACACTTAAAAATCCAACATCTGGATCAAGAAAGAGAACATTACCAGCACCCCAAGAGACCACCTCCCTGTCCCCTTCCAGTCACTGCTTCCCTGGGATAACCACTCTTCTGTTACTTATCTAATTTGCAGTCTTTATTAATCGAGTGGGCAAAAAGTATCTTGTTTTGGTGGTTTTTTTTTTTTTTTTTGCTTCTGGTTACTTTTATGAGGTTACTGCTTGGACTATTTCTAAAATTCACGGTAGGGCCCAATTTTTGGAGGTTAAAGTCTTTCTCCATGAAAGAAATGAATGACATCTCTTTTAGGTGCAGAACATGAAGGGATTTGCCATAGTTGAAAATGTTAAAGCAAAGATTCTACAATATAACCTTTGTCATATATTATTTTCTCAGTAAATATTGGAGATCCTTTGGGACAGGCACTATGAAAAAAAAAATAAAGTATCTTCATTTCTTTGAAATGACAAATTTCAGTACCTTCTGCAACTGGAGAGTATAGTAAGGATATGTGGCTAGAAGCTGACCTCTGCTGGAAGCTTCTGGTATAATGTGGAGGAAGGAGCCCTAGGTGCTAGCCTTCGTTCAGCTCAAACCTGCCTGCCTCTAGCTTTCCTTTGCAACTTCTCAGTTTTTTTTCTCACGCTATTTTTCTGCTGTGATAGCAAGTTTTGCTTAGCAAAACGTGACGTTTTCTCTGTGGCAAGGTCTTTGTAAACATCCTAGCAGTTGACTGTTGAAATACGGGAAAACAATTCGCCAGGTTGTATCTCGCATCTGCAGCATGAGATTCAGGCCTGGGGCGTAACTCCAGAGGAGGGGGAGTAACGGGCTGCTCTGCTTCTCCCCAGGAATCGACAAGGAGAACGTTGAACTCTCCCCCACCACCGGGCACTGTAACAGTGGACGAACTCGCCATGGATCCGCAAGCCAAGTGCAGAAGCAAAGAAGCGCTGGCAGTTTCAAACGTAATAGCATTAAGAAGATCGTGTGAAGCTTTCTTTCTTTCCTTTTTCAAACAGACTTAACTCACACGGGCTCGTCACTAGTGACCCCTTCACCACCGTGCTGTGATGCTGCACTTCATGTTTATAATGAGCCCACCCACGTCTGCCATGTTGCCAGATGATCAACTCTTGGAAGCATTGCCTAAATTTAATGCTGCTTTTTCTTTAACTTTTTTTTCCTTCTACTTTTGGTGTGTCTGGTGTAAGCAGGTGTTCAGAACAACTGCAAAGAAAGTGGGAGGTCAGGACGCTTGCACTGAGAACATCCCAGTTGTGAGAGAGGATGAATTCTCGAATACTGCTACCACTGACCAGCTATGAAAGCCATTTGCACAGAGCTCTCTGCCTTCTCTGTTTCCCCTTCTTCATCATACAAAGTAAAGTGTTAGTCTTATTTACACACTTTTCAAGATAGAAGTTTATGGGAGAAATAATACTATAACCCCAGTATGTTTAATCTGACTTTTAGCTGTGGACTTTTTTTTACCTTACAAAACTGAAGGAACCATAGAGGTCAAGCCTCAGTGACTTCACACCATAAAGCCACAGGCAAGGTACTTTGGGGGGTGGAGGGATTTAGTATTTTGTAATGAGTTCTTAGGAAGTACTAACACTTGAGTATTAGCAATAATTACAGGAAAATAAGCATAACCACGTATATCTTAACGTTACTGAATTAAGCGATGGGTTCTGAGGCCTTATCCAAACTCAGTCATCCAAACTAGTTTATTTTTTTTCTCCAGTTGATTATCTTTTAATCTTTAAATATACTAAAAGTTGTTGTTTTTTGTTTTTATAAGCCAAAACTATACTAAGTATAGTAATTATATGTTTTCCCCCTCCTCTCTTCTTTGCTAAATAATTCTGAGCAGGGTAATCAGTGAACAAAGTGTTGAAAATTGTTCCTTGAAGGTAATTTTCATAGATGTTTGCATTAGCTCCGTAGCAAAATGGAATGGTACGTGACTTTTAGAGTAGCTGATGCTTTTATTTTGTTTAATAATTTTACCAGAAACACAGAGTATGGTGTATATTATCAAAACTTTCTTCGATAACATGTATTTTAAGTGTCTTGTAATCTTCTCCCTCCCCTCCAAAAAAATCAGGAATCTCTTTAGCAAACATTGGGGTTCTATTTGATAGAATTGCATTTAATCACTGTGAAAGGACTGGTCAGCCTGCGTTAGGATGACAATAGGGGACCTTAAGAGTTGCTGCTATACTGAAACGGTATGGATTATCATGGTGTTGGAATTTCCATAGTAATGCAGATCCAGTTTTTTTGTGGTACCTGCAGTATGCAGAATTGTTTGACTTCAGTGAGCATATTAGTAGTATCTGGATGTTCCAATTTAGATCTAAACCATATTTATTACAAAAAGATATTATCCCCCTACTCCCAGGTTCCCTTTCTATGTTCCAATGTAATGGCTTGGGGAGGGGAAAAGACACCCGGGGAGGGGGTGCTTCCTGTGGTGCTGTTTCATGAGTGGATTTCAGTAAATTAAATTCCACAGCTAAATCAATAAATAATGGTACATTGAAGTGTTCTGATTTTAATAATACAACACATTTCACATTTATCCACACAGTAACAATGTAATATGTTAATGTAAATAAAATTGCTTTTGATATTCAGAAATAACAAGAATTTAATTTTTTTAATTGGTTTACAGTCTGGGAAAAGTAAGAACCATTTGCCAAAATAAAAGGAAAAAACTTTAGTATTAATAGTTATTTTGATGTAGAATTGTTGGAAAATATTGAAGACAGGTGCAATTAACTAAACTTTTGTTTTTAACTATTGTAGAGGCTGCATTAGGGTAGAATGTTCATAGTAACAGAGCAGCTAGGACTCTAAAGACGCTGAGACGAGAATTGAGTTTAGAAACAGATCCTTAATATCCCGATGCCAAGCTGCTGTTAGGTCTTGGTTCTCCCGCAACCCAGTGCTTCTGGGAAGGTGTCGCAACTTCTTGGATCCTGGAATAAAAGGCAGATGTGAGCCTTTAATCATTGTGGTTCCATGTTTTTCCTCTTTGTTGGTTGGTTTGGTGCATGTTGGTGGGTGTTGTTATGCTATTTTGCTTCTCCCATCAAAATAGAGAAACTGCCAAAGGTTTTCTGTTAAAAAATAGTGATGTTTCCATAACAAGTTTTCCAAGGTATGCTATTTCTTAAATTTATTCATTATTTCCCTCCAGTGTAATGAATGGAATGAATTCACTTGAAGTACCTCATGAAATGATCAGCGTTGCACAAATCAAAATTGAGCCTTCTTTGAACTGCAAAAACACTTTTGACCAGTACATCCTGGAAGTTTGAAAACCTACTAAGGTTTAAAATTTACCTTGTTTAGAGAACTTCTGACTTTTGAGGAAAATCTAGCTTTCCAGGTAACTAAAGTGAACATGAGCTAAGTCTCACCAGTATGCTTCCCCTGAGAAATGAAACACTTAGGCCTCATACGATGATCTGCACGAGAAATCTGAAGTTCAGAGCAGGTTTCCCATTTTGCGTAATCCAATGTAAGTTCTATACAGAACATTAGAAGTCATTTGTTTGGGGTTTGTGGATGTTTCCCCCTGATTTTTTTAAAGAGGCAAACATAAACTCATCACGTTTTCATTGTACATAACCCACCTGTTTTATCACTGCTCTAGTCTCAGGGGTGGGCCCTTGTTTGCCAACACTGAGAATACGGTTCACTGGCTTTGGGGAAAAGTGGCGAGGCTCTGTCCTTCATCCACTCGACTAACATGTTCATTACTGAATGCCAGCCCTGTGCCGGTCCTGAGCCCGGCTCTGAGGACGCCACCCTGAGCGGTCAGCTGCCACCCCCACAGGATGGAAGCTGGCAGCCCTCCCTCCTACTTAGTGGGTTTTAGGGTTTTTCAGTTTGTTTGGCCTTTGTTTGTTTTCTTGTTTTGTTTTACACCCCTCCCAACCCTCCAGGCATAATGAGGCATGTCTTATTCAATGTTATGCAATGGACTTAAACAAAAATTCACTCTTCATGTCAGCCACACAATTTTTTTTAAAGCAGTATATTCACCTGTAAATAGTTTGTGTAAAATTTGACAGAAAAGTATATTTACTACACTGTAAATACATGTGATGATATATTGTATTATTTTGCTTTTTTGTAAAGCAGTTAGTTGCTGTACATGGATAACAAAAATTTGATTATTCTCGTGTTAGTATTGTTAACTTCTTCCTGCGACTGCGTCCCATCATTTAAAGAAAATGCTGTGTGTTGTAAACTTACATTTGTATATGGTAACTTCCTCTCCTTTCCATCTGGGCCTAGACTCTGGCAGTTCCCTCGTCTACAACCTTGTTAATATTGTATGCCAGCAGGAGAGATACTGCCCAACAGTCAGAACCGATCATTGTAGGGGAAAATTGTAGAACTCCATCTCAGATCACTGTTGTTCCCCACCCCATCTTCCTCCCTGTGTATGTACTCCACCCCCCCCCTTTTTTAAGTAAAATGTAAATTCAATCTGCTCTAAGATGTGGGGAGTTGTTTAATTTCTTCACATGCCTCAGCTCTGTTTTCACATTCCCCCCCCCCACCACTCTTCCTGATCTTTTGAAACCTCAAGCCCATTTCCTTTCTTTTAAGTATGCCTTGGGTTCTCCTCCCTCCCCCAGCCCGTCCGTGGGAAAGACCTTTCTACTTCCAGAGACTCTCTAAACTAAAAGTAAAATAATCTTGGTGAAATGTGTAGGGGAGGGAAGAGTTTTCCTCGAGCCTCTTCGGGTCCCTGGCTGGGTCTGAAAATCAAACTGACAAGGGACAGCCCAACAGAAGAGAAGCACACAGCCCAGATGCATTCTGTTTTCATACAAGTTTACGTGACACAGGAGCCTTCCTCAGAAAATGAAGACCTGGAGAAACCGTTAACCCTGAGTGTTTCTGTGCTAGGTCTGATGAAGAGTGGGCGGTCGTGGAGGAACGTGATAGGTCCGAGAGGAGGAGGTAAGTGTAGTCAACCAGGAGGAAGCTTAGCAAGGCCCGCGTGTTGCCATTGTCTTATCTTTGGAGATAAGGACGCTTCTCTTTTCTGGGCACAGGGAGGATGCCTCTCACAGGAGGGTTTTCTGTCCGGTTTTCAGGGCAGGGACAAGGTTAGTGCATGCCTCCACTCTTTTCTCAGACTCCTTCAGCTTAAAATCTTCAATATGCCAAGGTGCCATATTTTGGGGTTGAATGTCCTGAACCCATCATCAAATGCTTTTTCACAACCTGCCAAGCTGAGGGGTGACTTTGTTCTCTGGAATAAGCTGTCTTGACTTCTTTTAACATGAGCACTTAGAAATGCCAGGACACCCCGAGATTGAGCAGTCAGAGGGCCTTATGTTAGCACCCCACAGTTCAACTTTTCAGCTCTCCCTCAACAGACTCTGTCATGACACTACACATGTAAACACTGGAAAACACTTTCTCTGGCTCAGCTTCCACGAGCTTTACTATTTTATCTACCCCATTATGTGGGCTACTCCCAGATGGAGAAAGAATCCAGCCTAAACCCTGTAGCCCGGACAGAGCTGGGCCTTAGGAGGATAACGGTGTCTGGCATTAAATAAAAGACTATAAAACACCATGAAACCAATTCGTGCTGGTCCATTTACGGCAAGACTGAGAAAGCAGGTGTACCTCACCTGAAGAGCTTGCTGATACTTCTTGGGCCCATCCCAAACTTCTGAGGCAGAGCCAGACTCTGGGATGGGGTCCTGGGAGGGACAGACAAGGTTTAAAGCCTCTGGGTGCCCAGGCATAATGCAGTTAGCTGTCTTCTTCCTGGGGCCTAATGCATGGTAGCCAAAACTAGGGATGCCTTTGGGGTAATAACCCCGTGGACCGCACCCCTCCATCCCTTGACAATAAGCTCCTTGAGGACATGGACCATGTTATTTATCTTTTGTGGGGCCCCATGTCCATTTTTCTTTGCACAGACTTTTGCTTTCTGGGACACCCTCAGGGACTTGAGAAATAACCCAGAAGTGTGTCCAGGCGGAGTTCCGTCTAGTGAGCAGTTGAAAATAAGGTGATAGAGAAGGTAGCTGAGGCTGGGGATGACCTGGCCCAGGGAGCACAGGGAGCAGAACAACATCAAGGCAGAAAGCAGCACACCAGAAAAGAGATCCACTCATTCTGTTCTTTATTTTCCTCCATTCTTCTGTCCCACTTTGGGCAATGCACCCTAATTTTCTACATTTTAACTCCATAAAAACATGCCTTAGCCCCAGAACAGCAAAACTAGGGGTACTCTGTATCTTTGAGTCTGGCGCAAAGTCTAAGTAAAATGAGAAATTGACGGCAAGGGATGCTCTCTTTTTTTTCCCTAAAGATTTTATTTATTTGTCAGAGAGAGACATGGCGAGAGAGGGAACACAAGCA